AACCCAACTTTATTTGAGTCAGATCAAATATCTGTGATTTGATCTCCCTTTTGGTGATGCAGTTACAGAAATTAAATTTTTTGAAGAACTGCTTCATGAAGGTTCATTGGACAGCCTTGGCAAAGTGACATAACTTCTGTGCATTCTCACCTGTTAATCTGAACCATAACACCTACTATCTCTTTTTATGGCTCTTACGAAGTTCATGAATGTGTATGCAGGCTCTTTGTAAATGACGAAACTCTACACATTTGAGTAATTATTATTATGCTCTTGTGTCTTCTGCAGGTGTTTGCTAGTTATTGACTGATTCACTTTTTCAAACATTATTATTCCTACGAAACTGAACTCTGGAAGTGTCTACAATCCCCACTTACAAAGGATATTGAATTTTAGGGAGAAAGTCACTTTTTCCCCTGCTATATGGTTATCATTGCTCATGGTTAGGCAGAATCATGCTGGTTAAAATATGATTGCAAGAAGGCCTAGAAGACCCCTTCTCTGCACTCTTTTCTCAAATATATTCCCAATAAACTTGCTAATACTAAAAAGCTACAAAATTGGGAATTTACTTCATTGTCACTGTTATAATGTAATTGCACTTTAAGCTCTAATTTTCATATATTCTTTATTATGAATTGCGTTCACCAGAGGAACAGAAATGAAACATGATCTAAGAGGGGTGAGGACAAAGTCTCAGAGAAATAAGTATGGAAAGAACACAGTGCATATGCTGACATCAGAATTTTTCTGTGTAGACGGTAGAATATTTGGATGGCATCTAATGATTAATGTTGCTTTAATTCTCTAGGTGACCAAAAATCACACAAAATTACATAGAAATAAATCCTCTCTACCTAAGAGACAAACCATTTGGGACTGAGGAAAAAGAAATGGATCTTACCCAGCAGGTCTTGTGTCTTCAATGGCTCTGTCCACTGGGATCAAATCGCTAAGGTAGACATTGAAGTTTCCTTCTTTCCATCTTCTTTTTGCCTCCTTCTCCTTTCCAGGGGGAACAACTATAGGACGTCCAAGCTGACCTGGGGCTTTGGGATCCCTTGGAGAAAGTGTCACATCAATTCTTAACACATGGTGCATTCCATGGTGTTCAGGTAAAAGGACTTTTCTATGACTTTGGTTGTGTTCTGTAGGCTGGGCCCTGGCAGTTAAGTTGATTCTTGCTGGCTTTAGCCCCACAGCTAAAGCTTGGTTGGTGTGAGACTCTGTTGCTCTCTGCAGAGCAGGTGAAGAGAAATATGTCTTACTTCCATTCCTGGAAATATGTTTACCTTCGCTTTCACCCAATACTTCAGGAAATACAGTTTTGGTTTTAGAATTGGGGACCTCTCGGGTGTCTGTCTTTAGCTCTTCCTTGGTTACAATCACCACATGGCTTTCAGAGAAATTGAATTTCTTCTCATGAGCCACTTTAGCTTCATCATCCTTTGGCAAATCTTCTAACCGTGTCTCACTAATCGATTGCTTCTTCAAGCGATTTGAATAGGCAATAAACGTGGAAAAAGGAAGACCCTTATTGGCTTGGTGTTCATTTGCATTTAGTTCTTTGCTCTGAGACTCAGGTTTTTTTAAGGCTATGGCTTCCCCAGATTTTGGCACTGGTGGGTTGGCAGGGTATGACCTTTCATTTGCTATTGCCTGTGATTGCTGCTTTGATCTGTCAGTACTAAGAATGATTGTCACATTCTGGTCCCTTTCAGCTGCTTGTTTTGATGTGTCACTGCTGAGACTATGACTCTTCAGGGCCTGCTGTTTTATACTGGCAGGTCCTGTATGTACTGATATTTTGACCAATGGAGTTCCTCTTGCTGCTACAAACGGGGTTTTCTGAGCCTCCTGAGCTGGTGTTTGCCTTGGTGTCACCCGGCGAGAAGAGGCTTCAGGTTTAATGTCTCTGCCTTCTGTCTTCTGCTTGGTGGGAGTCACTGGGAGGGTCTGCAGATGTGCAGGGTGCCACAAAGGCACAACCTTGCCCTTTGCTGGGGAGTTCTGCATTTTTCTTTCCCTCTGGTTTTGGTCTAACTCATCCTTAACCTTGAGCACACTCTCCTCAGTCTTTCTAAAGTTCTCTTTGCCCCATACCCTCTTCCCATGTCCCCTCAGTGGAGGCTTCATCTCTTTCACGCTGTTGTAAAGGATCTTCATTTGGTCTGGCTGCACCCTGAATCCTATCTTCTCCCTCCTCACGATGTCTTCCTTGAAGATCCGAGTGTTGATCTCACTGAATGAGAGGCGGAGAGCTGCCATGTCAAAGAGCAGCCAGATGACAGAAGCTACAAATATAAATGCTAAGACTCGCCCACTTCCTCGGAAAAACTTTCGGATCTTGTTCATGGTACAAAGGTTTCTCTTGCAGCCTGCCCTCCCTTTGAGCCTGCTTACCTTGAGTGGAGAGAGAGGTGAAATGCAGCAGCAGCAGCAGCAGCAGCAGCAGCAGCAGCAGCAGCAGCAGCAGCAGCAGAGTTGCCAGAACGTGCCCCCCTCCCCTGAACACAGCAGGAAACAGCAGTCCAAGGGGAAAGCTCAGCTCCTACTGCTTGTCAGTCTCTGCCTGCGTGGCATTTCACAGCAGAGCATCTGTGCCTGCTCAGCTGGCCCTGGGTAAACCTTGGTAAACACCGACCTTAGTTCACTCCAGGAGCAGTCGATTCCAGCCACTGGACAGTTCAACATCTCACTTGTCTCCGGGAGCCCTTGTCCACCCTCCTACAAGCCCAAGACAAGGTCAGCGACGTTGGGGCTGCTGCTTCTCTCCTCCCAGTTCTTGGTCGGTTTCAACATCTCACTTGTCTCCGGGAGCCCTTGTCCACCCTCCTACAAGCCCAAGACAAGGTCGGCGACGTTGGGGCTGCTGCTTCTCTCCTCCCAGTTCTTGGTCGGCCTGAACGCTGTAACTTAACACCACTTCTCATAAGGAAAACATTTCAAGCCATTACCCAGAAAACTTTATTCAGCTCTCACCTTCCGTGTTATGTGAGAGTTTATGTGTTAAGGGCAATTAAACAGAAAAAAGCTATCTAACTTGGAGGGCATGTGTTCCTGGTTTGTAACCCCACCTACCTAACTCCTGCTCATTAACCCTGTTGTAACCAGGTGCTCCAAGTGTTCACATTGAGCAATTAGTCACTGACTTCAATGTGTTGGCTCTAAGAGATAACAGCTTAAGGAAGGGGCCTAGAATATCCTCGTGACCAGAAGTGGATGTTTAGTTATTCAGAAGTTTTTCTTGAGGGCGGTATCAAAATATTTTTTTGTAAGTCAACTACTTTTTTTCCATGAGTCTATCTGTTTTTATTATTAGATTCAATAGACTTAAACTTAATTTGTAATATTGCTATAAAAGTTTCTAAACACTTTGTTATGTTCTGAATGTTTGTGTCTCCCCACCCCCCAAATTTATATGTTGAAACTCAATCACAAATGTGATGTAATTGGGAGGTGGAGCATTCGAAGGTGATTAGATTATGAAGGTGAAACCTCATGAATGTGATTAATGCCCTTGTAAAAGAAGTCCCAGAGAGCCGCCTTGCCCTTTCCACGAAGTGGGGACACAGTGAGAAGGTGCCATCTATAAACTAGGAAATGGGCCTTTACCAGACACAGAATCTGCCACTGTGTTGGTCTTGGAATTCCCAGCCCCAGATCTGTGAGAATAAATTTCTGTTTTTTGTAAGCCACTCAGTCTATGGTATTTTGTTACAGCAGCCCAAATGGATTAAGACATACTTACTCTCAGTTTCAGTACTTATTTCATCATGGACCAGAAATAAACAGTTTGAGGATTGTGCCAGGACTTGGTCCAGATTTTTAGTGATGCTGGTAGACTTGTAGAACTGTGGTTCCCACACAGACTTTACACTGGAATCACGAGAATGAATAAGTCCCATTAAACCATGATTAATTGATGTAGAAGGAGGCAGAGATAATGACTGGTCTGTTATTATGTTTTTAAAAAGCTTACCAGGTCTCTCTAATATGCAGCCAAAATTGAGAAACACTGGTCTAGAGTGAAATGCCTCAACATCAATGTTTTAGTTTTCAAATATTGCCCATGTGTTGGTTAATTTTAGATGTCAACTTGATTGGATTACGGGATGCCCAGACAGCAGGTAAAGCATTATTTCTAGGTATGTCTATGAGGGTGTCTCTGGAAGAGATTGGCATTTGGATAAGTGGATTGAGTGGGGAAGATCTGCCCTTACCCAAGTGGGTGCCATCCAATTAAGTGAAGGCCCAGACAGAACAAAAAGGCAGAGGAAAGGTGAATTCTCTCTTTCTTCTGGCACAGGGACACCCTTCTCTTGCCCTTGGACATCAGAACTTCAGGTTCTCTGGCCTTTAAACTCCAGGACTTGTACTAGCAGGCTGTCAGTTTCTCTGGCCTCCAGCCTTGGACTGAGAGTTACAACATTGGGTCCCCTGGTTCTGAAGACTTTGGACTTGGACTGAGCCATGCTACCCACTTCTTTGGTTTTCCAGCTTGCAGACAACATATCACAGGACTTCTCAGTCTCTGTATTGTGTGAGCCAATATGGAGAAATACTATTTGGATGGTGAAAGACAAATAAAATAGCAAAAGCATAGAAGTGAAGACAGAGCATAGTGTCTTAGGAGAAGCACAAGTTTTTGAGAACCGTTGTGACTGGAAACAGAAACTCTGTTGTTAGCCTGTGTGTGTATGTGTGTGTGTATCTCCAATCTGTCTCAAGCACTTTGCTAAGCTCTTTCCATTGAATATCTCACTCAATCCTCATAATTATGCAATGGAAAAAATAAAATCATAATAAAATCATAATTCTTATTTTTGTAGTCATAAAATGAAAGCTTAGAGAGGTAAAGCAACTTATAGTACAGAACGAAGGAGTTGAATTTTGGACACATGACTGTATGACACCTTGGTCCATGTGCTTAACTATTGCACAGTACTGCATCTCTAGCTGTCTGACCTTGCAGGTTAGTTAACTTTATGTGGTTACTGAGCAATAAAAGGAAGAAATATTTTCTGCCTTGCAGGTTAATGTGAAAATTAGAGAAAATGATTTAAAGTTCTTGTTATGTTGAATGTACCCTATAAATGATAGCCACTGCCATTAATATTGTTGGTAATACTTTGCTGTGATAGGAGCATGGGGTACACATGGGAGGCAATGCACTAGCTCTTCCCGAAAATCAAATAGAAGACTGGTTACTAATACGATTCTGGCAATGGAGAAAGAAGTATATCTGAGTATTTTATTTTATTCTCACCTTTCTTATTTCCTTTTATTATGGATTCAGTCAATGACAATTGTTCACTGAGAACTCACTATGTGCCAAAAACATGAAGTAGGTGACATTGTCTCTGCCCTGATGATCTTAAAACTCCACTTAGTAGAACACCATCAACATAAAACAGCACAACTATTTATGATCCACATTCCAAAATAAAGCAAGAATTTTTTTTTGTTTTTAGTATCATGGATAAATGGTTTGCATTGTAATTACAATTGTTTTAAACAGTAAAATAGAATGCTTTGAAAATATTTTACTCTACAAGATTCAAGTCTTGTTCAACCACATTTGCACCCCAGATGGCAGCTGGAATTACTCAAACTCCTTTTAGAAAAGTCAACACTTGTTACATCCCTACTATGCCTGACATCTTTAAAACACTACTTGAAATATAGCCTTACACTTCCATATTCATTTGATCCAAGAACAATGATTTCTTTCTTTTTCTCTGGTTTGTTCTTTCTAATCAAAACACAGATTACTCGCAATGGAAATGAGAAATGTTAAGAAAATTAAAGGAGAGTCTTGGCTTCTTTACCATGAGTAAATCAACATTTTAACTCCAGCCTTGTCCGTAGTCTAGTTGACATAAAATTCAGAATGAGACATGAAGAGTACAAAAGGGAGTAAAGAAACATTGACCCAATCCCCTAGAGAAGGAGGATGTACCAATAGTCAGACCTGGTCTAAAGTACTGAGTTGGCCACTATTAGCCATATGTTCATAAGTATGTCACAAATGAAAGAGCTCATGTAAAGATCTCTTCCCACTCTCTTCCCAGTCTTTTCCCTTGGTGAGTTTATGTGAATCTGTAAGGATGGCAGAAGTTGGCTATTAGAAATAGCACAAACTCAATATTTTGTATCTTCAGGGACCCAGTAACAACTTCTAGTGGCCTCTACCAACTATACCTCTTTCCTCTTTTTTACCTTTTTTCTGGACACATTTGATGTTTCATATCTTAGACCAATGACAAAGCATGGATAGAAAGGAATAGAAAACAAGGAAATTAGGAAATTCTAGCTTTCCAATACACACATTGCCCCATGGATAACCTTTATATGCGTAAATGATACTGTTTTTTATTTTAGTTGTATTAACTTCCATATTACCAGCAGAAAATAAGTATATAAGTGGGTTGGTTATTTAAGGTACTTCACAGTTGGAGAGGATGGCTTGTCATCCCAAGTGATCAAATGCAGGTAGCTTAATTGGTCAAAATTCTCAAGAATTTGCATATGCTTAGTTGGAGTGGATGTCAGTCTGAAAATCTGGAGTTACGAAATAATCTTTGAGAGTCTTTTAGAGGAGTCATTACAATTATCAATCTGACTTTAGCTGTATAGTAAAAATTAAAGAATGCATTTTAGTTTTTCTTCTATGATCTGAGTATAATAGGAGGACCCGACCTCTACTCGGTTACTATCAGGATAATCATTTTAATAGCAGGCATTTATTGAGAATTTACTGAGTATCTGCCACTAGACTGGCCACTTCACGTTAATTATTTCATTTAATTCTCAACATTTAGTTTTCACAGACTATATCATAAACTTTTAGCAGGACAGCTCACATGAAATTAGAGTGGAATCTGTATCCTTGTTCTACTCCCAGGGCAAATACTTTTGAATCATTCTCCTTGTTCATTAGTAGATACTCAATAAACTGGTTTTATTTCTAGCCTTAAACCTCTCCATTGGGAATACAGGATCTTAAAAGTGCTGGTTCCATTTTCTGACCTTGCATCTAGAGTTACTCTGTCAGGGTATTTGAATATTTCTTGTTTATGTGAGCATATTCTGAGTAACTAATACCTGTTTTCTTTTATGATATCTACTCAACTGATCAACCCTAACTATAAAGAATAATCTAAAAGGGAAAATATATTAAACATTATTTTAAAGAAAATAATGATCATCTATAGATGCATAAACAATTTTTCCCCAGCTTTATTGAGCTGTAGTTGACAAATAAAAATTTTATGTATTTAAGGTATAAAACGTGATGTCTTGATATACATTATAAAATGATTACCTCAGTGAAGTTAATTATCATGTTTATC